GCCGCCCCCCACTGCCTGGCCCCATCCTGCCCTGTGCCCCCCCCGCCATCTCCTCGGGTGCCTCTGCAGCTCGGGTCTCCCCACGGCTTGGGGGTCCTGTGGGTTGGGACCTCCCATGGCTGGAGTGGCCCCATCAGTTTGGTCTCCCCACAGCTTGGGTGCCCCCATAGCTCAGGTGTCCCCACAGCCCAGGTGCCCGCAGGGCTTGGGTGCCCCAAATGGTTCAGGATCGGCCCCCATGGTTCAAGATCATCCCCCCCAAAGCTCAGGTCTTCCCACAGTGGGGGTGTCCCCACTGTTCAGGTGCCCCCGTGGCTCGGGTGCCCCACAGCCAGGGTCTCCGCACACCTTGTGTCTCCCCACAACTCATCTCCCCGCACTGCCTAGGTGCCCCACAACCCCGGACCCCACACCTCCTGGGTGCCCCATGACTCAGTGTACCCCACAGCGTGGCAGACCCCCCCCTCTGCCCCATCCCGTGCAGCCCACGGCTCAGACAGCCACCCCGGCCCTGCTGCCCTGGCGGGTGCCCTCTGGCCACCATCCGAGGGGCACCTGAAGGGCACGTCCCCGGGCTGCGGGCAGGAGCTCGCGGCAGGTCACACGTCCCCTTTGAACATAGTTTCCACCAGCTCCGGCAGGTCCGAGCGGCGGCAGCGCTGCAGGCAGGGACGCGCTGCCCTGCCTCTGCCCGGCACTACCGCCTTGCTCGCACTCGCCCCATTTCAGCCCATCCTCACTTTGCATCCAGCCCCTGTGCTTGCTGCTTCGGGGCTGGGAAGGGGTTTTTTTTGGTCCAACGAGCCTTGAGGTTCCCCCACTCCCCCAGGCTAGGTGGGGGGCTGCAAGTTTCTCCATGCGTGGTGTATTTAATGGTGCATGGCAGCTGGGAAACTGGGAAAAAAGCAGGGATCAGTCCTGCGAGGGAATGTGTCTCTGCGGGATGGGAGAAGCCACGAGAGAAGCTCTGACTCCTCTCAGAGCCTTTTTTCCTTGTTCTTACGAGTAGGAACAGCCCAACGGAGGAGGCATTGGCCCCCCAGGGACTCCCCCCACCCCCAGGGGAGGCATCAGCCCATGGGGAGGCATCGGCCA